CGCCTACTTTGCAAAGAGCGCCACCATCTACAACCCCATTATATATGTCTTCATGAATCGTCAAGTAGGTCTTTGCTATTGAAAATGCCACTCTTACTTCACAGGCATCAAGTAACACATCACATGAAATGGCAGATTCAGGATTGTACTATAATCATCTTCCTTTTTATCTCTTTGCAGTTCCGCTCATGCATCATGCAGCTCTTTGGAAAGAAGGTTGATGATGGATCTGAGGTGTCTACATCCAAGACAGAAGTCTCCTCTGTGGCACCTGCATAAACACCAAAAGTATACCTAGTACAATGAATCCAGCTCACAGGAAATGGAAAACCATAAAAATCCATTTTTTATTTGTCTTCAAATATCTGCAATTATTTTCATGTGTGTTCAATGCTTGTGGCTAAAAATACTACTGATTGTTCTCCTGGAATGAGGGAGCAATACCTTGTTTCAAGACTATGTGTAAATGCATTACTTTCTCAATATGTTTGTGGCTGTGACTGAACAGTACAGCTTAATTAATTTTTGATTTTGTGATGGTTCTCAGCATTCACACAATCACATGCATTGTCTTCTGACAATCACGCAAGTGGGCAGTGTTTTGCCACATGCGGCATGCAATCTGCAGTAAACCTACTCACTGTTAGCAGATGTAAAAACAACTGTAGATTAATGTTTCCTTATGTAATAATACCACTGAAACTTTTAATTAATTTTATAGCCTCCTTGCATGCAAATCAAAAAGACAAAAAAAGGATAGATAAATGCCTATGTACAGTATATGTGGTTCTATTTCATTTCTTATGAAAATAAACGCTTGCAGCAAACTAAAATGATGCCTTCTCCTTGAATGTCTACTAACTGCAAGAACAAAATCTTTGCTGCACAGTGTATGATGTGTATATTGGCAAAGAAAAAGAGGTTGTCCTAGTTACCCCTTTGCTTTCCCTTCAAACTGCAAGAATCGCAAGCAACCTTAACAGCAAATGCATCTTGGCAACTATATAGTATGTAAATCTTGTTTCAGATGGCACATGTAGATTCCTCCATGCCATTTATCCATCATTAACCGCATGTCTGTGCAAAAGCTGTCCAACATAATTAAAATTTCATAATACTGATAAGCTAGGCTAGAGGCCCACCACTTCTCCTTGTCAAACTATGCAAGGTTGCCATAGATCTTATATTGCAACATCTCAGTTACAGGTCATCACCCTAAAAAACACAGATCAGCCTTGTAATCAGTTTAGAGGTGACTACTGGCTGAGGTTAAAGCTTCGTGGCACAATGAATACTTTACCTAAGATGGCACCCCAGCTTTCATGGAGCAATCGTAGCTTAGGCTACTTTCCTAAGCCAATAGAATCCTAATGCCAGGTTGTTTATCATAACGCATGTCCCTGATAACTTCACGTGGGTTTTTCTGCCACCCTGATCTCATTCAAGGGTTGTTCTAATCTGGCCTAGGCATCCTGTTGCTGGGTATAAAAGCACATTGACAAGAACTAGAAATCCATTGGTGTGCTTTTGATGACAGACAGCAGAGTGTAGAAGAACAAACGGAAGGAGTGGGAGCAAGAAAATATAGAAAAGATTGAGGTGTAACTGCCAACACAATCAAAGCACTAACCAAAAGCTCCTGAAATACCCCTCAGGATGGCAGATCAATGGGGAGATGCTGTTTTTGCAGCCAGGCGACGGGGTGATGACACAACGCGGGAAGCAGCCTTCACATACACCAACAGCAATAACACCAGAGGTAAGAGAGCAATTTGACACTGTAGTCTACATTACTCTACTGCTAGTCCACTTTACAGCTCCAGTTCTAGAGTTTCCCCTGGCATGCACTGTTTTGTGCTTGCCCACTATAGCTAGCCAGCCAGCTAATTAATATTCTGTCTGTTGAAGCAGGGTAGGTAGTTCAGGGTTGGGTTGGTTAAGGGGACTCCACTGAACATGGGAATGATAGTTAGTCTGAAATATCATTACAGCACCTTTAAAATGAATGAAATGTGGCTTGAGAAAAGCAATGAGTCAATAAATCACTATTTTTTATATAGTATCAAAATCTTGTATGCAGTGAAACAGTACTGCTCTGACATGCTCCTGCTATGGAGTTGTTCAATGTAGGACTAAAAACAGCTTATATTTATCTCTTTTTGTAGACCCATTTGAGGGACCCAACTATCACATTGCCCCAAGATGGGTGTACAATCTTTCTACATTATGGATGCTCTTTGTGGTCGTCGCCTCTACCTTCACCAATGGCCTGGTACTGGTGGCCACAGCCAAATTCAAGAAGCTTCGTCACCCTCTCAACTGGATCTTGGTCAACCTTGCTGTGGCTGATCTTGCTGAGACACTATTAGCCAGCACAATCAGCGTCTGCAATCAGTTCTTCGGCTATTTCATCCTTGGACACCCAATGTGTGTTTTCGAAGGTTTCACAGTTGCTACTTGTGGTAAGTGGAGGCTTCTTGGTCAAGCATATAAAGTACTGACCTAACACAAGCAAAGTAACCAAACTGAAATGCAGGCTTTATGTGCAATTGTTTTGTAATTGTTTCATCTTGTGGTAAGTGGTCTCTGAGCTAAATGTGAGGAAAGCAAACAAAAATCTCTTACTCATTATTTTTTAGGTATTGCTGGTCTGTGGTCCCTGACTGTCATATCATGGGAGAGATGGGTGGTGGTGTGCAAACCTTTTGGTAATGTGAAGTTTGATGGCAAAATGGCTACTGCCGGCATTGTCTTCACTTGGGTCTGGTCCGCCTTCTGGTGTGCACCTCCCATCTTTGGATGGAGCAGGTAGAATCTTCTCTTCTAATGAAGTATGAATTTAAAGACATTAAATGAACACTGGAGGACTTATCCTCTTTTTGCCTGACAGGTACTGGCCTCATGGTCTGAAGACCTCCTGTGGACCTGATGTGTTCAGTGGAAGTGAAGACCCTGGGGTCCAGTCCTACATGATTGTGCTCATGATCACCTGCTGCTTCATCCCCTTGGGTATTATCATTCTCTGCTACTTGGCCGTGTGGTGGGCCATTCGCACCGTAAGTAGTCCCATAGGTTCATGATACAAAACTTCAGAAAATTACTTCAGAATGATCTTTCTGCTCATAACAGAATGCTAAACACTGTAAATTTGCTTTCCTACAACAGGTTGCCCAGCAGCAGAAAGACTCAGAATCCACACAGAAAGCCGAGAAGGAAGTGTCCAGGATGGTGGTGGTCATGATCCTTGCCTATTGCTTCTGCTGGGGTCCTTACACCTTCTTCGCCTGCTTTGCAGCTGCTAACCCTGGCTATGCCTTCCATCCACTAGCGGCAGCCATGCCTGCCTACTTTGCAAAGAGCGCCACAATCTACAACCCAATTATCTACGTCTTCATGAACCGACAAGTAAGTCTTTGCCATTGAACATATGTAACTACCACTTTAGAAGATACATAGACAATGTTTAAGGACCATAAGCATTACCTTAATTAAACAAATGACAAGAAATGGTTTATCCAAGATTGTGACATAATAAAAATTTCTCTTGTTCTCTTTGCAGTTCCGTACATGTATCATGCAGCTCTTTGGAAAGAAGGTTGATGATGGATCTGAGGTGTCTACATCCAAGACAGAAGTCTCCTCTGTGGCACCTGCATAAAATAACAATTATACCTCATAAATTTGATTCAAGTCTTAAGGACGTGGAAAACAAACTCAAAACGAAACTTTTTATATTCCTTGTATCTTCAACATTTTCATAATAGTTTTTCTCTCTATTCCTTGTCATTTGCCAGAGTGTGATGAAGAAAAAGTAGTATGACAGTGTGTGTGTAAAAGCATTGATTACTCAAAATTGCTCAGTCTGATGTTGAATAGCACCAGAGTTTATTTATAACTCTGGTTAACAGTATTCTCTCACCAAAAGGCATGACTGGCTGGTAAACTGGCTTCCAGGTACCTTTCATGAATATACAATACACATTTTATAATAGAGCCATTCACTGTTGGTGGTAAAGAAAAGAACAAGCAATAAGTGCAGATGCAATTATGTCACTACAGTCAATGAGTATTTGCCTTTACACAGCACTGCGAGTCAACACAAAGGAATCTAGGCTAATGAACAAATCACCTCTGCGGTGAAATCAATTGTGACTTCACACCCACTCATTGTGTAATACCGCTAATGTAACTTTAAATACCTTTTGTAGCCATCTTGCATGAAAACAAAAATCACAAAAAAACTAAATAGATATATGCTTATGTACAGTATATAATATGGTTCTATTTTTCTTGTGATGAAAATAAATGCAGCAAATTGAAAACACTTTCATCTCTCCAGGTCTGTTTTTATTCCACATGCAAAATCCCTGCTGATAGGTGTCCTCTATGGCTAAGCTATGGCATTTTTTTTTTTACTAACAGGTCTGAATTTCTACATTTCTCCACTGCCTTTCTGATCTGTATGTAATAACTGCCATTTAAGCTTGAGGACTTTTAAGAATAATGAACCCACACACGGAAGCTGCTTGTGCCTCACAGGATTTAGAGTTTTAAAGATACTTACAGGTCCTCCAATGAAAGAAGCCAGTCAAATGTAATTTCCGCTTTCATTCTTATGGGGCTAAGCAAATTCTCCTGAATCCTGACACTAAAAGCACTTCTTATCCAAGGCAGATTAACCTCAGACTGAAATGCTGGCTTCTGCTTGACCTAGGGCATGTATGCATGAGTGTATAAAGTGTGCTTGGTCCCCTGGGTGTGCTGGCACATGCGCAAGGTGCAGAATGTTGCTTTAAGACTCAAGCTTTGCAGGAAGATTTGTGAGGACAAATGACACATTCCCTTCAATAAGAGGCCCACCTCCCACCATGACCTTATTTCAGCTGGTCAGTGTGCTAATCTTTGTCAAAGTAAGCTGGTATAAAATGCCACAAACCCTCAGTGTAAAGCTGTTGGATGCCAACTCTACCACAAAGGAGAAGGTAAAGAAACAAAGGAGAGGCCAACCAGAAGAAACACAACAGGTAAAAAAAATCTAGGAGATTTTTATATATATAAGTATACTTTTAATGAGCGGCGAAGAGTTTCTGTGTAATAACTATCTTCATTTCTTCAAATAGCCTGCTTTAAGGCTTTTGTTTAAAAATGGCAGAGGAGTGGGGAAATGTCATCTTCACAGCCAGGAGATACAACGAGAACACAACGAGGGATTCAGTCTTCACATACACCAACAGCAATAACACAAAAGGTGAGAAAAAAGCAGAAGCATGCATTGGTGCCGTAAGCTGCACTGAAAACATTCAGTCAAATTACAGTTTAATCGTATGGTATGCCCAATGTACAATACAGTCCACAGGCATGTCTAGGGGTGGGCAGGGGTGGCACCAGCCAGTACAGAAATGTAACTGGCCACCATGAGGGGAATTTTCCTTCACTTCTTTTTAGTAATGAAGAGAAAGTGGTTGTATTCTACTAACAATTCATTCAGATTCTCGGCATGTGTTTATCCTCTGAGAAAGAAAGCACTCTGGGAGTGTTTTGCACAAGTTTGTAGTGATGCTAGTGGCAAGCGGCAAAAACAGGCCAGAATAAAAGGCTATACTTGCTGGAATCAGACTAACCGTTACAATTTAGCTCACAAACTTAAAATGTAGTTTTGCTGTTTAACTAAATAAATATTATATATAAGCTACACCCATTTTAAAAACATCTTATCTTTAGCTTTGTGTTAAAGGCCCTTTCAGCCATGTTGCTTAAATGCAACCTGGACAAAAGGAAGTCAAAACAGTTCTTGAATTGTTATTTATTATTCGTTGGTTTAATCGAAAAGTCATTCTAAACGCATTTTTTTCTGCTTCAAGTCAAATTACCCCCACTCCCACCCCCCACCCCAGTTTCTGTGTGTGACTAGGACCCTTAATCTAAAATTGGTCAGGACACAATGCTGCACCTGTTGATGATAATTATATTTATCTGAAAGGATGGAAACTTGCTGGATGACACATGAATGACATTCTTCCCCTCTTCTATTTACAGATCCCTTTGAGGGACCCAATTACCACATTGCCCCAAGATGGGTGTACAATATTGCTACATTATGGATGTTTTTTGTGGTCGTCGCCTCAACCTTCACCAATGGCCTGGTACTGGTTGCCACAGCCAAGTTTAAAAAACTTCGTCACCCTCTCAACTGGATTTTGGTCAACCTTGCTGTGGCTGATCTTGCAGAGACACTGTTGGCCAGCACCATCAGTGTCTGCAACCAGTTCTTCGGCTACTTCATCCTTGGACACCCATTGTGTGTTTTTGAGGGTTACACAGTTGCTACTTGTGGTAAGTGGACTCAAGATCAAAGATGTAAGCACTGAGTGACACAATAGCAAAGCAACCAAACTGCAATGCAACTGTTCTGTGATTGTTTTATGTTCACTATGAACTCATCAGGAATTGCTGGTCTATGGTCTCTGACAGTCATATCATGGGAGAGATGGGTGGTGGTGTGCAAACCTTTTGGTAATGTGAAGTTTGATGGCAAAATGGCAATTGCTGGCATTGTCTTCACTTGGGTCTGGTCCTCCTTCTGGTGTGCACCTCCCATTTTTGGATGGAGCAGGTAGGATCTTCTTTCAAACTTTTTGCAGTGTGTGAAGTGTTGATTTTCAAGATAACTTTACAGTGTGGGGGGACACAAAGAATGATCTTTTGTTTATTTGCCTGACAGGTACTGGCCTCATGGTCTGAAGACCTCCTGTGGACCTGATGTGTTCAGTGGAAGTAAAGATCCTGGAGTCCAGTCCTACATGATTGTGTTGATGATCACCTGCTGCATCATCCCCTTGGGAATTATTATTCTCTGCTACATTGCAGTGTGGTTGGCCATCCGTGCTGTAAGTTGTTTCACTGGAAACAAAACTTTCCAAAAATTTATTTCAGAAGTGTCTTTTTCGAAATTTGGTAATTGTTCTTTCCTCTGACAGGTCGCTCAGCAACAAAAAGATTCAGAATCCACACAAAAGGCTGAGAAAGAAGTGTCCAGGATGGTGGTGGTCATGATCCTTGCCTATTGCTTCTGCTGGGGTCCTTACACTTTCTTTGCCTGCTTTGCAGCTGCTAACCCCGGCTATGCCTTCCACCCACTAGCAGCTGCCATGCCCGCCTACTTTGCAAAGAGCGCCACCATCTACAACCCCATTATATATGTCTTCATGAATCGTCAAGTAGGTCTTTGCTATTGAAAATGCCTCTCTTACTTCATCAGATAACCCATCACATAAAATTGCCAATTCAGGATTGTTCCACAATCAAGATTCTCTTTCTCTCTTTGTAGTTCCGCTCATGCATCATGCAGCTCTTTGGAAAGAAGGTTGATGATGGATCTGAGGTGTCTACATCCAAGACAGAAGTCTCCTCTGTGACACCTGCATAAAATATCAAGTATACCTCATACACATAAGGCAAACGCAAAGGGGATGTCAGAAAGTTGGATATATTTTTAACGTTCTTGAACTTCAAAGATGTTGCTACGAAGCATTCAAAATCTTTTGTAAGGAAATCTGAAAGTCTGTCTGTATGTGCCAATGTGTCACATTGTTTGAAATGGTGTAAAACTTGTGTGTAAAAATTTCTATTTACACTGTACTATCTTTAAAGTGAGTGTGACCATCATGACAAAATCATTATTATTCCAATCTTTAAAAAACTTAAAGTGAAAAGGCGCTGTCAATCAAAATATGGAATTACTGTCATTAAGCTTTCTGTGTAGATAGATTTCCACCAAAAAAAGAATTTTCACTTCATATGTTACATTTTTTCTGACTAAAGTAAAAATGTGCAAAAGGTAACACTACTGGATTTTAGTTTTTCAGCTAGAATTAAAGGGGAGTTCCAATCTGTATGATTAAAGCATTTAGATGCAAACAAAGTCATTTAAAGTGATTCAGTGTGTAATGTGACAGCAGTGGTGATTCAAATGGGACATCCAAAGTATATGGCCTTTAAAGACTACCTCACAGTTATTGCTACCACATAACTGGGTCCCTATAGCATCCCTTAAGCAGCCCCCACCACCCACCACCCCACCTGATAATCTTTTTTTTTTTTTTTAAGTTTTCAGATGCGACTGAAACTGTCATAAAATGACCCCCATCCCCACCCAAAACCACTTTAAACTATCACCAATTTCTCTCTGTATTGTGCTCTTAAAAATTAGGCCCTCAGTAAAGTGAGTGCACATTTATCCAGCTCAGTGATAATCAGATAATGCTTCAAACTCTCCAAAAGTCTAATAGTCTTGTTTGGCTCTTTGTGCATCACATCCTCTTGTTTTCAAAACAAGTTTATCATCTTAGGTGGTATTTTCATTTGGAATTTATGACTGTTTTAATAAAAGACTGTTTTCTGAGTACAAACTATGCCTTTCTCTGGTTCTTCTTCACCCAGACGCTACAGCAGGGTTGGAAAATTCCGGTCCTTGAAGGCCAGTATCCAGTATAGTTTGGTGATTGACCTACTCAAACACACTGGCATACACTTTACTGTTAATTGGCCGGTATAGTGTTTGAGTAGAGAAACCTCCAAACCGTGCTGGACACTGGCCCTTCAGGATTGGAGTTATGCGCCCCTGATTTACAGTATTGATACTTCCGTATTCTCACATGTTCTGCTAGGATGCTGAATATGTTTAAAATCATCATTACAATGGATTACTTAGGACTCATAAGATAAGAAGTTAAAAGCCAAAGCAAGACAGCTACTTGGCTATCTAGATATTTTACCTCAGTTTGGCTGAGAGTAAATGATTCTAATAGGTGTTCTGGGACTGATTCCAGATGCATTTGGTGGTTTCCTAAAGGGGATCTAAAAGTGTCCACAGGAAACTAGTGGTCTATAAATTTAACCAAAATCTCACAATTAGACTAATCACTCCATAAACCATACACAAAACTGCTGCATAAAGACTTGGGAGACTTTGAGAATAAGTTGTTCAGAGGTCACGATGTCTACGATGACCAGTGAACCTACGATGAGTTTTTATATTGTGATGTCACAGCGTGTCTGGTACTGTTATGAATTAATAGTGAAGAGTGTTCTATCTAGTTTAAAGCAAATGTGAACTGAAAATCAGAATGTGTTTTTCTTCCTTGGCATAATATATTTCAGTGAAACAAGATATTTGATATATTGAAAATAATTGTGGGTTGAACATAATTTTATTCTTCAGGAGTTGTTTGGATCATTAAACATGGGCATTCAGGAATGATTAAGGAGTCAGACTCTAATGGTGGTGCTTGTTTTGCAGAAAGGCCAAAAAAAATAAAATAATCAGATTTAGTCAAAAAATGAAATGCTACAATACGTTGAAATGTATTTTCTGCAGAGGTGTGGACTCGAGTCATATGTCTTGGAATCAAGAAGGACTTGCGACTCGACTTTGACATGAACACCATGGACCCTGACTTTGACTCGGACTTGAGGCTCATGATTTGGAAAGACTCGAGGCACAAAGTGGAAGAAACATGGAGAGGCGTCTAACTGCAGACTGCTACACAGTCGGTTACTTTTGATCTGAATGGATTTGTTTCCTGCCATAAATTTAATATACAACAGCGTCCTCAAATACTGTTACTGTGCTTATGCTCGGCTTATTAATTCTGGAATGTCAGAATTCAAATTCGCCTCCATAAGCTAGAAACAAGTGAAGCATCAATAGCATCAACAAGCCCTCACTCAGCCCTTAAACTCTTTCTGGAGAAACTTACCAGTTCACCTCATTTCTCATTGACAATTTTCCTCATGGTAGCAAAACAAAAGAAACAGTGCTCTCTCTATTTGACCGAATTTAGCAGCTTCTGCAGGTGAAACAGAGGCTGAAGTTGACTTTTTATTCACCAGCTTCATACTGCAATTTGTCATACAACCTTATAATGGCATAGAAAATTCAGATAAGAAACTGCCGGTGAAAAAAGTCAACTTCAGCTTTGTACATTCACCATCATTTTGCTGTCTTTTCTGTAAACTTTGTTCAGTTCAGTTGTTTTGGTTTCTGTTGTCGTCTAAATTCAATTCAAACTAAAAGTTTTTTTAGTTGGCTGAGCTGGTTTTTATTCTTCAAATATGAAGTTTTTTTTTAAATTGAACTTAACATACATACATACATACATACATCATCTAAACCGCTTATCCTTCTGGGTCGCGGTTTGAACTTAACAGTACTTTTAAAATTCTTTTAATGTTCAGTGTAGTACTCTTTGTGTAAACCATTATGTCTGTCATGGTTAGCTGTGCACCAAGGATTTTGTATTTTAGTTGGAAGGGTAAAAAAAGTTAATAACAAAATGTAAATAAAAACAGAATGCAATTTGTTGCAAATCTCATAGACCCATATTTTACTCACAATAGAACATAGAACACACATCAGATGTTGAAAGTGAGACATTTTACCATTTCATGAAAAATATTAACTCATTAAGAACACAATGGTAGCAACGCATCTCAAAAAAGTTGGGACAGGGCAACAAAAAGCTGGAAAAGTAAGCGGTACTAATAAAAAACAGCTGGAAGAGCAATTTGTAACTAACTCACATGATTGGGTATAAAAGAGCATTTTAGAAAGGCAGAGTCTCTCAGAAGCAAAGATGGCCAGAGGTTCACCAATCTATGAAAAACTGCATCTAAAAATTGTGGAACAATTTCAGAAAAATGTTCTACAACATAAAATTGTGAAGACTTTGAATATCCCACCATCTACAGTACATAATAACATCAAAAGATTCTGAGAATCTAGAGAAATCCCTGTATGCAAGGGACAAAGCTGGCAGTCATTGGATGCTTGTGATCTTCGGGCCTTTAGGTGGTGCTGCATTACGAAAACAGGCATGATTCTGTACTGGAAATCAGTGCATTGGCTCAGGAACACTTCCAGAAATCATTGTCTATGAACACAGTTCGCCGTGCAATCCACAAATACACATTAAAGCTGTATCATGTAAAGAAGAAGCCATATGTCAACACAATCCAAAAACACCACCGTCTGCTCTCGGCTAAAGCTCATTTAAAATGGACTGAGGCAAAATGGAAAACTGTTCTGTTGTCAGATGAATAAAAATTTGACATTCTTTTTGGAAACCACGGATACTGTGTCCTCTGGACTCAAGAGGAGAGGGACCATCCAGCTTGTTATCAGCACACAGTTCAAAAGCTTGCATCTTTGATGGTATGGGGCTGCTTTAGTACCTATGGTGTGGGCAGCTTACACATCTATAAAGTCACTATCAATGCTGAACAGTATATAGAGGTTTTAGAACAACATATGCTCCCATCCTGACGTCTCTTTCAGGCAAGGCCTGCATGTTTCAGCTAGACAATGCTAAGCCACATACTGCATCCATCACAACAGCATGGCTTCGCAGAAGAAGAGTCCGGGTGCTGAACTGGCCTGCCTGCAGTCCAGACCTTTCACCAATAGAAAACATTTGGCGCACCATGAAACGAAAAATCTGGCAAAGAAAACCCAGGACTGTTGAGCAGCTAGAATCTTGACTTGAGACTTGACTTGGGATTTGAGTATCAAGACTTGAGACTTACTTGTTACTTGCAACTTAGTGACTTGTTCTCACTTCTGATCTGATTTTCTGTAGTTTCTGAAACACAATTCATTCATTGTTGAAAGCTTGATTTTAACCTGTTTTTTATTTTTTAAGATGCAGACGATGAGAAATGCCGGTTAGCAAGCTAGTCTGTTGGCATCCACACTGCTCTCACTTTTCTTACACTTTCACAGCAAAAGCAAGTAAAAAGACTTCAGGTTAAATAAATTCTTGTATGGGTGTATTTACCTAAAGTTTGAGCAAGAGATGGACTGTGCCTGTGCATGTCACTTCATCATCAGCTGATCCCCTCTCAGCCTCTCAGCGTGGCAAACAAAAACTTCAGAAAACAGAGCTTACACTCTAAAAAGTCGTGTGTTAAATAACAACACACTTTTTTTACCCGTTTTAACATTTTTTGTGTCATACTGTTTTCTGATTTAACACATTGTGTGTTAAAAGTGTGTTAAAAATGTGTTATCAGGAAATGGGCACAGGAATATATCAATATATTCAATATATTTTTTGTTAAGAATGAAGTTAGAAAAATCCACATTTAAGAAGATTTTCTTTTTTGTAAAACTTTTGTGAATCCAGCCCCAGATCTTTGAATTGTCTAAGTTTTTGGAGAAACCCCCCATGGAACCAGAGGTCATGATGTCGACAACACAAGTATAACCGTTTTTCTTGCTATCCAAAATGACCAGCTGACACGTGTTTTCTGTGTAATGTTGCTCCACATATACCTTTCTGAGGTGAATGTATTGTAGCATCAGTGAAGAAGAACGTCCTGGAAACATTGTGCTTTAAAAGTAAAAGCATTTTTATTGAACAGGCAGCA